TTTTTTTTTTTTTTTTTTTTTTTTTTTTTTTTTTGAGGCCGGGGTCCTCAGAGTCTACCCGGAGTAACTGAATCCAAAAGTTGCTGAGAACTGGGCTCAGCGTCCCTCATGTGTTGATGGAAATGATCATGATACTACTGGTAATGATTATGAATTTATGAAAGACTATGTCAGCTATTCGAGACTCCTGAACCTAAGATAACTCCTAGCCATCCTTGCACCGAGGTATACTTACTCAAGAACAGTACCAACCAGACCAACGTCACCCATAGCTGACCTCTTCTCGCCACTAAGTAGCCCCCCCCAGTTCACCACTGAATTGCCTTCCTCCCTCGGCAAAACCCAGATCTCTCTACAAGACCTCATACTCCTGCAAATTGCAGGTTACAGGGCAACGCCCCAGCTCCGGCCAGCGTCGTTCTGGCATCGGCAAAACAGGGGCACAGAACAGAACAGCTCTGTGGATGTCGATCCGAGTGTGACCCTCTCTGAACTCCTATAACCCGGATATAAGTAAAAACTAAGGGTTACCCTTTTTTTTTTACTAGGAAAATCTAATTAGAACTACGTTTTTTGGTTTGAATTAGGACTTCAACTTTCCATCTCCATTCGACGAGCCGACCTCCTCCACCACATAGTTCGAAGGGAGAGAAGAAAGTAATCCGTCCAGAAACAAATTCTGAACAAGTCTGAGAACAATTAGCTTCCTGCCTGCTATGCCTAGCAACCCCCTGCTCTTCCTCATCTCCCGACGAGCCGACCTCCTCCACCACATAGTTCGGAAGATAAGAAACATCAGACAATCAACCTCTCCAAAACCCATATGGTTAAGAATGGACTTCAATTTTCCATCTCCCTTCAACGAGCCGAACTTAGGGGCTTGTTAGACACTCCTCGGGCGCGTAAATCCCACGAGGGAAATTTCGTTCCACCTATCCTCGGGGATGAAAACGAAAAAAAAATGTGAAAACATTTCCTTGGGGAATCCTCGGGGCGTCCTCGGGCTACAGCCATTGGTGGCATTCCCAAAGTGACCTCCCGAGGTCCCTTGGAGGTCAAGGATCCGCGATAATCGGAGCGGCGAGGGCACCTGTCGTTGGCATAAAATTTTCGTCGGCTGGTCCATTGGAGTTTCAACCGGGCAGCGCACAGACATCTTGGGTCTTCAACATTCGGCTTCCAGGAACCTACACCAACGGTAACCGTTGGTGGCCGGCCGGCCCCTGCGGACGTCGTCGACCAGTGCTGCCAAACAGAAAGGGGTCGAACGGTCGGCAAATTTGAGTACTTCAACCGACCCCCCTTGCTCCGATTGCCCACTGTATGCCACGACGAAAAATGTTACAAGGCGTTTGTCCCATGCGGCGGTCTGCCGTTTGCAACCCTCTTCGTCGCCGTTTGTTGGAGGTGTATCGTCGTCGTCTAGCCACTGCCCTTCCCCACTTGCCTTTCATGGCCGACGTCTTTCAAAGGCTGCCGCTGCTGCTCCTGGTCATCCTTTTGCTTTTCCTTGTCATCTTCTTCCACATCTGCATGCTCGGCAGGGTGCCTGGACGTACACGTAAGAGGCGGTCTGCGAAGAAGGACGTCAGCATGCACGGGCGGCAGGCGAAGAGCAGGTCTCCAGTGGACCACTCCAGAAGCCACCGCGCAGGCCACGGTCCGGCTCCCAGTGCAAGGACGTACGACCCGTTAGAGTGCGTATCTCATATGTTGTCCTCTACTGTCTGCTCCCTTTATTGTCGCCGTTCGATGGACCTTCACCGTCGTTGTAGAATTACGGCCCTGTCGTACGTGTTATTGATGGCCGACCTCTATTGAAGGTTGCCACTGCTGCTCCTAGTCACAATTTTCCTTGTCGTGGTCCTCCTGTTCCACGTGTGCTTCCTCTATCATTGATGGCTGACCTCTATCGAAGGCCTCCAGCAGAGAAGACGAGGGATCCACACCTGACTGCAGTCGACATCGACATCGGCAGCGCATCCCACGGACGTTCGTCCACACTGGATGCAATCACTATCGCCCGAAAGACACGTGGCGACATACGCAGCTTCTCCCAAAAGTACTCCTCCGCCGCATCATCGCATTGCCTGAGATCCTCCCACGCCCCCACCGTCCTCCTTTTCATCCACCACCTCGGTGCCGCTCGTTGAAGAACACTGCAACCCATGGCGCAGCAAACCTGAACTGCAGCCTCGGTGATGGCCACGGTATCCAGCCCTTCGACCGGGACTTGATGAAGCGTCTTCCTCCTCCGTGCGCGGATCTGCGCTCCCATTCTGCCCAATGCCCTCTCCGACTGACAACGAAAGAGCACGGCAATCACGGTCGTCTTCTCGATCGTCGTCAACTTCTCATGTCCGCCGTCGCTGTCGTCCTCCATCTGTGTGTTGCAATGCTCATGAACCACGAAAGTACAACAGCCTACCAACTCGGCACGATCACGGTAACCTCAGCGCCAAGTCCCCGACGATGTTCCTCGTGTGTGCTCGACTCAACATATAGGCGTGGCGGCATGCAGAGGCAATGGCGATGGACCTTCGGGGGGCCTCCACAAATTTGTGACGACGTACAAGGACTCCACTGCGCTGCTGCAAATGCCCGTTTCCACCGTCGCAAATATGAAAGCCACCTGTCCCGCGTCGCCGTCGTGACGTCCAGCGCCCAATTTGAAATTCGATTTCCGAACGGGGATGTCCATTGCTTTTAAGTTTTTTTTTTTTCCCGCCTTCGGCAGCTGGACCACACCGTAGGACGGACATCACCCAATGGACCAAGGCATTGCCCTCCCCGCGGCTGACTATAATATTATGAAAATGGCCGCTGGCGGCTGAAAGGAATCATCCTTGAAAGACCACACCAAGGATAGGTGGAACAACGGCGGGAATTTCCTTCAAAACCCCCAAGGAAACTTCCTTTGGCCCCGAGGACACCCCAAGGAGTGTCTAACGAGCCCCTCAGAGACGAAAGTATACCACC